CACACACACACACACACACACACACACACACATATATATATATATATATATATATATATGTCTAATTTCAGAAAAAAAGTAAAGTACTCTATTTGTCATATATACCAATATCATAAAATGAAGATATGAACAGAAACTAAAGTCATTACTTTGATACTGGGTCGAAAAAATAAAGTATACTTGTAAACCATATTTCTATGACAAAAATCGCAACTTCTCCGATTCACGAGTGAGGAGCATCAGGGCAATTTCGATAAAGACTCGAGCAGTAATCGGCCACCACGCGCTTGTCACAACGACCTTGACATTTTGATTTACGTTATTCGGATGCCCTGAGGAAAACTCTTCTTGCTCGTCGCTTACATCCCTAAGCTTGTCCGGAATCTGGCTATTATGACTGGACGTAGTTAAATTGGATGCTCATATCTGGAGGTTTTTCATCAGGTTTTGGACCAGTTCGTTGTAAGTACTAGACATGAGATTTCCAAGGAAGTTCTCAGCCAAAAGCACAAAAGACTACCAAGCAATTGGGATAACCTTAAACTCACCATACTCACATCCATGAACAAACACATCCCACAGAAAACACCTTCAAGTAGACATACACTTCCCTGGTTCTCCAAGGAGCTACGCAGACAACATCGCAAAAAACAGCGACTCTACAGACGGCACACCAGATTATTGGACTGCTTTCAAAACTCACCAAAAACATTTTCCAAAAACATAAAGAAAGCAGAACACGAACATATTTCCACCTACCTCGCAAACAACGTCAGAAATAACCCTAAACACTTCTTCAATTCTTTAAGTTGCCCAGACAGGACACAACGGCGATCACAGCCTTCAAAGACTACAACACTCTCGTAACTGACCCAGAACTCAATTCACAATTACTCAACACACACTTCCAGTCTGTTTTCACACACGAAGATGATAATACACCTAACATTTCAGATAGACCTTATCCCCCAATCCCGCCGCTTGACATCACGACTAACGGCATACTGAAACTAATGACTACTCTTGACACAAACAAAGCCACTGGACCAGATCAGATCCCCGCCTTAATCCTCAAGTCCTGCGCCCCTGTCCTTGCCCCCATCCTTCAATCTATCTTTTCCCAATCACTCGCCTCATTCACCCTACCAACTCACTGGCTTTGTGCTAATATCACCCCCTCTTCAAGACAGGCGACAGAACTGACCCGACGAATTATCGCCCCATCTCTTTCACATCGATCGTCTACAAAATTTTTGAACACATAATACACAAACACATGATGAACCACATTGATACCCACAACATCCTTACAGAATCACAACATGGTTTTCAGCCCAGACGATCATGTGAGACCCAACTAATCACCAATCATCATGACATTGTACGACAATTAGGCAGACGTGACACCAAACAAGTTGACGCCATACTACTTGACTTTGCCAAAGCCTTTGACAAAGTTCCCCACAAAAGACTGACTCTTAAATTACGACATTACGGGATCACAGGACCAATACTTCACTGGATCACTGCTTTCTTGACGTGTAGGACCCAACGCATTTTACTCGACAGAGTATCTTTTGACCCTGTCCCTGTCTCTTCTGGTGTCCCACAAGGCACCGTTCTTGGCCCCCTTCTTTTCCTTCTGTACATAAATGACCTTCCACTTTCGACTCCTAATTCTTCTACTAGACTTTTTGCTGACGACAGCCTTTTGTTACGACCTATAAAGAGTACTAGGGTACTGTGCGGCTGTATGGGACCCCTACACTAAACACAACATTGAGAAACTCGAGCAGGTTAGTACTAGGGCAGCCAGGTTTATTACTCGCAATTACTCACATACTCCTGGTATTATATTTCACATCAAAGAAAAAAAAAAAAAAAAATCAGATTAACATGGACCTGCTCGAGTCACGAAGACAAGCACACTGACTTACAATCATGTACAAAATCACAAACAACCTTGTAGACATCAACAAACACGAATACTTACACGCAGCACACCCACGCAACACAAGGAATTCACACACCAGTAAATTTGTCACATACCACACTAACACTAACTCTTACAAGCACTCATTCTTTCCACGTACCATACGCGACTGGAACAGGCTCCCACAACACATAATAGGAGCTGAAACAATTAACACTTTCACAAACTAAATAAACACAACAATACAAACGCCTTCACAAACACCAACACTTCCGCTTGCACCTTGATCCTTCCCCCTTCCCCCAGCAACCAATCGCTACTAATATGCGTGTTATGCGCTCACTTAGCGCCCTACGCATAAAACATTAATTTGATTTGATTTGAAGCACAGGATTTATCTGGCGTCATGATTGTAATGAAGTTTGGACCCTTGATTAGGTTTCTAATTTGCGGCTCATCAAATATACCACCTTTCAGTTTCTCATCACTCATCCAGGAAATATTTTGCAAATGTACTTTAAACAATCACCATCCTTATTCAAAGCTTTATGAAAGTGCTTGCAAAATCTAAGTTAGATATGCAAAGGCGGAGAAAGAATTGTTGCGTGATACGCGAGATTCAGCAATAACGTTTTATCTCTTCCACGTCCACGGCAGTCACCCTCCACCCAGTATTGAGATTTAGCACGGCTGGCCAAGAGACATAGCAAGAGTACTTTGTGTACCGGTGTTGTTGCCCTAGAAGAATATTGACCATTTTTAAAAACAACAGAGACCCCAGACATGTTAATAGCATTTTAAATTTTGCAACACAAGTTTGATGGCATTATTGTGTTCTTTAACTGCTGTTGAATGACATAATGGAATAGACGTATTGCTATTTATGTTATGAAGTAACACACTTTTCAAGCTTTGCTTTGATCTGTCGATGAACAGTCGCCAATTGTCAGGATGTCATCTCTGAGGCCCAATATGGGCCTGAAACGTGACAAAAAAGAGGTCACCTTCCACGTGGAAGAAAAGTACAAATTCAGCATCTGCAACAACAACAACAACAACAAAAAACGTTTGTCCAAGTTCCAACCTTATCTTTTCTTTTAGACTTGAAGCTAAAAGTTTTGAAGATTCCCTGTAGAGGTTTAAATCTTCCAAATTGTTCAATTCTGCCAGAGGCGACTGAAAAATCAGGTCCTCGCTGTCGCTTTGACTTGGTTGTTTACACTTACATCGAGGTCTAACTTCGATGCTTTCGAAATCAGGTAACGAAGTGAAAACAGGGATTGCCATAGCCTCACTGTGCGGTACTGGCCGACGAGCAGAAGAAACATCAGTGATGAAGGGAATTTACACAAACATTGCAAATGATGAGAGAAGACCAATTTTTATTTTGATCACCTACTTTTACCCTGAAATATGGATAGTTTATCTATGGGAATGATGATTAAGCCCCCTTCTAAGCGCCAAATGAGTCAAATTACACTCCAAGAGGTTTGTGCACTCGTGGCGAGTTTTACAAAATTGCTGTTTTCTAATCAAAGTAAATTCCCCGTAATCGTAACAAAAATATCTGGAGAGTTTTTGCAGCTTTTTGAAGTCATGTCTCCAAGTAAAATGATGCCTTATAAACATAAACTCAGGTTTGTTGCATAGCTCTAAACAAAAACATAAATACTTAAACACCAATCATTACACCAAGAGAACGTTATGATGTGTCGGCCTATTAATTAGATAAGAGTTCAATTAGATTAAGATAATTATTAAATAGATAAGAGGCCAATTAGATTAAGATAATTAATTAGATAAGAGGCCAATTAATTAAGATAATTAGATAAGAGGCCAATTAGATTATGATAATCATTAATTAGATAAGAGGCCAATTAGATTAAGATGATTATTGATTAGATAAGAGGCCAATTAGATTAAGATAATTATTAATTAGATAAGAGGCCAATAAGAGTTCAATTAGATAAGAGGCCATTCATAAAGAATTATGACGTCAATGAAATGCTAGGTTATCATATCAAAAAACAAAAGCGACTCATGGTAAGCTCCAAAAGGGAAACCATATGAATGGAAATGAAATATCGATAAACTTCATTCCAAAGTGCAATAGTACTCTTAATCAAAATCCTGTGATAACATGCCGTATGTTATCTCCGAAACAGGAGCCGTCCAGTCAAAATGAATGTTTTTTCATGTTCACCGCTTCAGTAAGAAAAAACAAAATGCTTGTAGATCAGTGTTATATATCGCCGCATGTTGATGTATATATGCGGAGTGGCTGATATACAGATTATAAAGTAGCTCATTTGCATGTAGGCTATTGGTACGGCACAGCCGTTACATGGATTGAAGGTGGTAGAAAATTATGTGCTTTGTTATTTTAATGTTTAGATACGGTTATTCTGGATAAGTATAGGTTTGATCAAGTCAGGTAGGTTAGGTTAGGTTGATTAAGGTTTAGGAAGGTTAAGTTGGGTTACATCAGGCTAGGAAAGGTTAGATTAGGTTAGGGTAGGCTGGGGTTGGGTTAGGTTGGGTTAGATTAGGTTAGGATTGGTTAATTTAGGTTAGGCTAGGTTTGGTTTCACTGGGTTATTTTAGGTTTGATGAAATTAGGATAAGTTAGAATAAATAAGGTTAGGTTAGAGTATGTTATGATAGATTACATTATGTTAGGATAAATTAGCTTGTTCGAAATAAGATTATGTTAGCTTAGATTATGTTAGATTGCATTAGGTTTGAATACATTAGGTTGTTCTAAATTAGGTTAGATTAGCTTAGATTATGTTAGACTGCATTAGGTTAGGATAGGTTCAATTAGATTAGGTTAGTTTAGATTTGATTAGGCTAGGGGAGGTTAGGGAAGGATGTAATGTAGCGCCAACGCCATGACAGAGCAGAAATCACCATGATGTTTTTACAGTACGTTTATACGGCATATGGTTCGCCATTAATTTAAAAGGAGCATGTGAGAGACCGCGTTAGCTTTAGGAAGCGTTTCATATCAGCTCTTCTGAATTTGAGAAAATTCCTCTATACGAAATGGCTCCGCCGCCCCACTCAC